GGATGGGTGGGTGATATGTGGGTGGGTAATGAGACAGGGAAGCTGGGGCGGGGTCTGAAGGAAGTTTGGGGAGGAGAATGCAGCATGGACCCATGAATACTGGCTGAGCTCTTGCTTGAGTGGCTGGTGTAGCCCCTGCCATCCGTCTTCTCTTTCCAAGCATGCTTATGGGTCACAGGCTCAGGGTGAGCACAGAGCAGGGTAAGCCAGCATTGCACAGGCTGAGTCACAGGTTGGGCCAGGCGGCTCCTGGTGGGTGTGCGGTAGATTTTAGACAGGTGGTGATGGCTGCTGAGGAAGGCTGCTGAGGAAGGCGGCTGCCCCAGTGCCTGCAGCATCCCAGCCAGGCCTCCCTCTTGCCTAGCATCCCTGAGGGCTGTGCACATTGCCCTGTCTCCTTGCATGGCCCCTCCATCTCCTTGAAGCCTATCCTCTCTGTAGGGTCCTGGGAGGATTGGGGCGCCCTGCTCGGGGTAAGGAGCTGTCAGCGCTGCAAGGAGGGGGCTCCTGGGCCCAGGTCGATTCGAGCAGGGGGGGGAGGGAGGCCCAGCCTGCGGTTTACACTGAATCCGCAAAACTCACCCGAGCTTGAAAAGTGCTCAATACACCATCGATCGATTGGCTCTGCTGATCGGTGTGCCGCTGCAGTGGGCTGGGCTGGCAGAGCAGACCTTCCCCTCAGCGGGGATGGGGTGTGTGGGGGAAGCCAGGCCCCTCGAGATCCCCCCTCCTGGCCTCACACAGCATCCCAGGCTGCAACACTAGGGTCTAGGACCTAGGCTAGTGGGAGCTGGGATTCCAGCAAGATTGTCCCCAGCCCCCACCCGTACCCTGAAGCTGAGGGAATTTCAAAATTCTTCCCCAGGATCCAGGCTGGTAGATGGACTCTTCCCCTACAGTACACAAGGCCCTGGGTTCCGTCCCCAATGCAACATAAACCAGGCCTGGGGAGGTAGAGGCAGGAGGATCAGGAATTCAAGGTCAGTAGGCCCTGGTGTCTGGTGTGGGGCACAGGGAGAGGGGCCTGGGAGGAAAAGGAGGTGGACGAGGGTCTTGAGAGCCATTAACTCAGATACTGTCACAAGAGGTCTTCAAAATGCTGAAATGGTGGCGCACGCCTTTAATCCCAGCACTCCAGAGGCAGAGGCAGGAGGATCTCTGTGAGTCTGAGGCCAGCCTGCTCTACAAAGGGAGTTCCAGGACATCAGAAAACAGAGAAACCCTGTCTCAAAGAACAAGCCCCACCACGGCTGTGGAGCCCAGGTTTGCCTTCAACGAGGGGGCCCTGGGTGCAGCCCAGCGTTGCAGAACCTAGGCTGGGGTGCACACATGTCATCCCAGCACCCAGAAAGTGGAGGTCGGAGGACCAGGAGTTCAAGGTCATTCTTCACTGCTGTACTGGCTGGTTCTGCGTCAACTTGACACAAGCTAGAGTCACCAGAGAGGACGCAGTCTCCGATAAGGAAATGCTTCCAGCTGTAAAGCATTTTCCCAACTGTGATCAATGAGGGAGGGACAGACCATGGTGGGTGGGGCCATCCCTGGGTTCTATGAGGAAGCAGGTTGAGCAAGCCATGGGGAGCCAGCCAATGAGCAGCCCCCTCCATGGCCTCTGCATCAGCTCCTGCCTCCAGCTTCCTGCCCTGTCTGAGTTCCTGTCCTGACTTTCTTTCAGTAATGACCAGCAATGTAAGTGTAAGCTGAAGAAACCTTTTCCTTCCAAACTTGCTTTTGGTCATAGTGTCTCATCACAGCAATAGAAACCCCAGCCAAGACAGTGAGATCGTGGCCAGCCTGGGTTACACGAGAGCCTGCCGAAATAAACAAACTAAATAAACAAAGAATCGGATCAAAGCTAGCCCTAACCGCACAGGTGTGTGACCCCAGCACTTGGAAGGCTGACACAGAAGGATTGAGAGATCTGGGCTACAGAGTGAGAACTAAAAAACAAAACAAAACAGCAACAAAAGCAAATAAAATCACCCACCTAGGGCCTCCTGACATAGGGCAGACACCAAGCCAGACAAGCCCCACCCAAGCTCTGAGGCCCCGACCTCCCCGATCACCTTTGGGTCTCCACCTCGAGGCTCAGTCTCAGGAGGGTGGGGTAGGGGTTCTGGGGCACTGTGCTCACGAGCGCAGAAAGGGGCGTGTTAGTCCGTGCTTCGACATCACCGTGAGAGCCACCATAACCAGAAGCACCTTGGGAAGGAGAAGGTTTACTTCAGCTCAACCTCTCAGGCCACCTCCATCACTGAGGGAAGCCAGGGCAGAAATCTGGAGGCAGGAGATGCAGAGGCCACAGAGGGGGCTGCTTCCTGGCTGGCTTCTTGAGGCTTGCTCAGCCAGCTTTCTTATAGAACCCAGGACCACCAGCCCAGGGATGGCACCACCCATAATGGGCTGAGCCCTCCCCCGTCAATCATTAACCAGTAGCCCACAGACATGCCCAAGGCCAAGGCATTTCCTCAACTTCAATTCCTAGACATGTCCAGCTTTGTGTTAAGCGAACGAAAACTAGCCCGCCAAGGGGAAAGCAGCCCCATGCCCACGCACTGAAATCTGACACAGAAAGAGTGCTCCATCCAAACACTGGAGTACTTCACAGCGAAGGGACCTTGGGGACATCCTGGTCCCTGAGAGATCCAGGCACCACGTAGACTCACAGGAAATATCCAGTTCAGAGGAACTGGAAATAAGAGGTGGATTTGTGAGTGCTGGGAAGTGAGATAGGACAGGAGGATGGACTCATCAGGAAGGGGCTTTAGGGGTCGCTCTAAACCTGTGCCAGCCTTTCGCATTTTAAAGGTACCACCTTTATTGCGGTCCATGAATGTCATGTCATCGTATCCCAGGCAGTCACCATGAGTGTACATTTCCGGGCTATCCACTCCAGGGAGGTGGGCACAGCCTGGACCCCACCTCCACCCCTCCAGCCTTGCATGTGTTAGGGGTGAGGGGGTCTCGACTTTCTCCGCCTCCCCCCCCATTATACTCAAGGCGATGACCAACACACAGCTGGCTTGCTGTTGGCCCAGACAGCATTCTCTGGCACTAGCCGGCTGCACAGGCCTCAGGGACTCCCAGCGGCTCTCCTGGGGTGAAACCTTCGATGGCCGCTACACACACCAGAGGAGAAATGTTAACGGAAGATGGTCCCAGGCTCCTGAAATAGACTCAGAGCAAGGGACAACGGCATTCCCAGAGTGGCTGCTTGAGTAAAACTCACAACTGTTGGGGTTTAAGGCCCTCCTGGGGTCCACGCGGGATGCAGAGCAGAGGCCCCCGGGCAGGGCGGAGGCTGCGCAGGGATGCAGGCTCAGCCAAGGATGGCTGGCCACGTGAGAAGCAACAGGAGCAGGACAACCCCGGCCGGCCGTGCCCACAAGCTGAGGTCCGGAGGCAGCCAGTCCCGCCAGCACCCTCCCCACCTCCAAACTCAGCTTGGCTGGAGGAGGCTCCGCCAGAGCCCATTAGCAGCAGCTCATAGCACCATTACAGAGTGGTCTGGAAGGAGGGGTGCCGCTGTGTGCGGAGTGCGGTCAGTGGGGTTCCCTCTCCAACCGCCTGCGCCCCTGAGGAGCAACAGGGGCAGCACGGGCCGGGATTCCTTGGCCAACCTGGGAGAACTTCCTGACTTAAAACCCAAAGGGCTCAAGTCGGAGGAACCAAAAAAAAAAAGGACAGAGGAGGATGAGGAGGAATGGGAAGGCAGGGAGAAAGGAGAGGATGAAAGAGGTGAACCACCCCGCTGTCCCTGCTCTCTCTAGGCCTCTGTGTCCAGTTCCTGTTCGCTACATCCTCTTGGAAAGGACTCCTCCCGGCCCGCATCCGTGCTCCCAGGCGGGGCTGCGGGATTCGAACCCGTGTCCCCGGGGGCTGCTGAGGGGGCGGCTCCCCCGGCGCCGGCCGACGGGTCGTTATCCTGGGCCGCCCCCCCCTACCGCCCGCACTAGCGATCGATGGCCCGCGGGCGCCGAGCTCCCGCCCGCCCCGCTGCGCATGCTCGGCATCGACCGCGCCCAGCAGCCCCGCCGGCCCCGCCCCTCCTCCAGCGCGTTGCCAGGCAACCGCGGTGCGCGCGCTCCCATTGGCCGGCGGCTCCGGGCGCGGTCGGCCGGTCCGCGCGCCCCGGGCCTGGCTCCGGGCGCCGGTCGATGCCGCCGTCCCCTGACCTTCCCGGGACGCGCGGCGGGGACGGCGGCCGAGGAGCCGTATTGACCTGTTCTTATCTCGGCGCTGCAGGGCGGAGGGGGCGGGGAAGCCGGGAACCGAGAGCGGCGGGGGGCCGGGGCGACCGCGTACCCCAGAGGCGGGCGGGAGCGGGGAGGACGCCGAGGTCCCGCGAGGCCACCTCAGGGGAGCCCTCGCAGTTGAAAGGCTTCAGACCCTCTCCCCATTCCCCCGGGGTTCGGAGAGTCTTTGCAGAAGTGACCCAGTGAGGATGAGGTCAGAGGGCACGGGGGCGGGGCCGAAGTCTGTGCCGCACTAGACCCAGCAGCTCGGGCACCCACAGCCCAAGGCCTCTGGCTGCGCAGGGGCAATTATTTACATTAAGTTGCACAGTGAGGGTCGGATACGGTGGCCCACATTTATTTGTTTGTTTAAAAGTTCTCTCAATTTGTTTATTCGTGTGTGTGTGTGTGTGTGTGTGTAGAACAAGGACAATTTGGGGGAGCCAGCTCTCCCGTGAATTTCTGGGGATCAATTCACGTTGCCAACTTGTTAGAAGCCCCTTTACCCACTGAGCCATCTCGTGGTCCATGCTGATGCTCCCAGCCCTCACAAGCTGAGGCAGGAGGATCAAGGGGTTCCAGACCAACCTTTCTCAAAACAAAAGCCAAACGACCCAGGGACCATTGTGTTTGGTGGAGCCCTTATCTAACGTGCCAGATAAAACAGAAACACACTTTGGGGTAGGAGCTCAGTGTGCAAAAAGGCAGCACTCACAGCGGCCAAGGGGCCGGGGTTTCATGCCCAGAACTGAGACAACACAGCGAAATGTAACACGGACCATCAGAAGCCAGGCCGGGCATGGCGGCACACGCCTTCAGTTCCAGCACTCGGGAGGCAGGGGCAGGTGGATCGCTGTGAGTTCTAGTCTAGCTTGGTCTACAAAGTGAGCTCTAGGACAGCTAGGGCTACATAGTGAGAGCCGTCTCAGATAGATAGATAGATAGATAGATAGATAGATAGATAGATAGATAGATAGATAGATAGATAGACAGACAAAAGAGATAGATGAATAAAGCCAAATCCAGAGCCAAGCCTGGTCGCACTGCTCTGCCATCCCACCGCTCCTGAAGCTGAGGCAGGAGAAGACTGGATTACAGAGGGAGTTTGAGGACAGCCTGGACCCTTTCGTAAAACGCTGCATCAAACAGAAAGCAAGGGCCAGGGACAGAATGCCACCGAGCCCGATGGCCTGAGCTCTGTCTCAGGTACCCACGTAGGGGAAAGGCAGGGCCAACTCCCACGCAGGTCTTGGTGTGTGTTTCTCCACACGAAAAATGTTAACGCAATAAAACCTACTTTTAATTGAAATGGAGGCTGAGTGTGGCTGAGCGATGAGGGCTTGCCCAGAGCGGTGAGCTACAAACTCCACGGCAGTGGGAGGGTCGAGGCAAAAGCTCTGTAGAACTAAAGAACCCAAGTCCCCATTGCTGCCGCCCAGGTAAGATGCCAGGCGGGGTGGTGTGTCAGCCCGTGCCTGCGGGCATGGGAGGGGGAGGCGGGGAAGGAGGAGCTGTGGACTCAGCTGGCCTCCAAACCAGGATGACCCAGTGGTGAGAAGGCTTGCTGCCAAGGCCGCTGACCTGAGTCTGATCCCCAGGGTCCCTATGGTGGAAGGAGAGAGCTGACTCCACAGGCACATACAACATAAAGAAATTAAAATGGAAACAATTGTGCCAGGGCATGCCTCTAGTCCCAGCACTAGGGAGGCAGAGGCAGGAGGATCTCTAAGTTCGAGGCCAGCCTGGTCTACAGAGAGTGAGCTCCAGGACAGCCAGGGCTACACAGAGAAACCCTGTCTCAAAAACAACAATAACAACAAAAGTGAAAATGGGGGGAAGAAGAAAGAAAAGGAAGTAATCGGTGGGTGCCATTACAGTCGCCTGAACATGGCTGTGGTCATCCTGCTACAGCTCTGCCCTGGCCCAGGTGCCCCCTCTGTGCCTTGTGTCCCTCTGCTCTCCTGCTCCCCTCTGAGCTCCACAGCAGCCCCTGCGCCCCCGCCCCCCTCTGCGCCCTGTGCCCCTCTGCTCCCCTCTGAGCTCCACAGCAGCCCCTGCGCCCCTGCACCCCTCTGTGACCCCCACCCCGGCCTCTGCTTGTGAGCTCCTCGGGGCGGGAGCCCGGGCTGCTGACCAGGCGGCATGGAGCTCTTTCCGAGCTCAGAACCTGGGATTCAATTTTTATCTTAACCTGGTTATTGAGTGAGGATGGGGAGGGAGGCGGGGGCTGGCGTGGAAGATAAAAGCCAGCTCTCATCAAAGGACTAACTGGTCGGCAACTGGCCGCCGTCCCTTCTAATGGACGCGGGGCTGCTCGGTGAGCAAGAGGAGCGGGCCTGTGTGGGAGCCCGGGAGGCCTAGCGCCAGAGTGCGGTGTACATACGCAGGCCCTCTCCATTTGGCCCGTGCATCCAGACAGACCTGGCGAAGCTGGACCTCACACTGCCGTCTCGGCACACTGGAAGCCCGGAGCTGCGGGCTGGCTGTGAGCTAGACGCCAGCAGGGCCTACATAGCCAGCCGGGGCTATGGACTAAGACCTTGTCTCAGTCAAACAAAAAAACGGGCTGTTGTGGCGCACACCCTTCATCCCGGCAACCTGGAGGCAGAGGCAGGTGGATTTCTGGCAGGTGATCTGGCAGGTGGCCAGTCTGGCCTACAAAGCGAGACCCTGTGTCAAAGCAAACAAAGCAACCAAAAAGCTCTGTCCCCAGCAGCCACACGGCAGTTCACAACCACCAGGTCCCGGGGACCTGATGCCTCTTCAGCGTCCTGGGGCTCTGCACATATGTGCAAAGGCAAAGCACGACAATTTAGAAACAAACGGACGAGGTGGAGAGCGGGCAGGGCGTGGATGGCCACCGCTGTCTTCCGCAGCGTGCACAGATGGAGTCCTCCGGCGCCCGAACGTGTGCCTTGGCGTACACTCTCTCAGTCACAAAGGACGGGGAATTAAAGGTCAGCAAGACCTTGTGTCAAAGGAGCCAAAGCAGCCCGGTACGGTGGCACATGCCCGACCTCCCGGCACGGGTGATGGTGCAGAAGACGGCAAGAGCCGGAGGCAGGGGGTCAGAGGGGCAGGGTCACCACCTGCCCGTTTGGAGTCACAGGAGTCACAGGCGTACACCCTTCTGTGTGTGGCTGGGTGTCCGAACTCAGGCCCTTAACTAAAGTGGGAAGCCTCCCATGCTGTTTGCCTGATGTTTTCTCAGGTCACAGTTACCTACTGAGCGGCTGCGCGTGTGAGCCCCTGTGCATGCGGAGGTCAAAGGACAACTTAAAGGGTGAGTTCTCACACCGTGCGTGCCTGTGTGTCCGGGGCTTGAACTCTGGTCCTCAGGCTTGGTGGCAAGCACCTTTACCTGTTGATCCATCTCAAAGGTCCCTGCTTGTCTGTCTGCCTGCCTGCCTGTTTTTGAGACAGGCCTTACTTTGGAGCCCAGCTCTTCTCCCTGCATATCTAAGGCTGACCTCAGACGCACGCCATCCTTCCCCCGCAGCCTCCTGAGCCCTGGGATGGCAAGCCTCGGCCACCACACCGGATGTACAAGGCTCTTCCACTGTACCTCTGCTTAGCCTCCAGGGCCCGGCGCTGGCCTATGGGAGATAACCAATATGCGCTGTGCTCCCGGATCCCATCCCAACACCAGCACACGCAGGCCGCACGATCCCCGGTAGGCAGCCCCTGGCCGTCGCCGAGGCCCAGGCGATGCCTCCCCGTCTCCTTCCTGACCCCACCCGCAGACCCTGATGAGCCTCGGCTGGGCCCCAGCACGGAGTCCCCACTGGACATGGCCGGGTGAATGGATTTCCGAAGGCGTCTCCCCAGCTGGCCGCTTTATTAACCAGGTTGTTTGGATTGAGTGATTGACAAGCTCACTTACTGCCCCGCACCCCATCTCCAGGGACCAGTGCCCCCAAGAGTGGAGGGCACACTGGAGCCTCATAGCCAAAGGTCACCGTCTGCACTGTTGCCAGCCTTGCCAGCCGGGGCTTCCTAGGGAGCGCTACCCAGGCACCTGCGAAATTCAAAAGGCAGCCGTGAAAGGTGGGCTCAGCGCCCTGCATGGCGGTGAACACCTCTCTTCCATGGCTCTGGCGGCGGAAGCAGGAGGACCGGGAATTCAAGGTTGCCCTGGGCTACATAGTGAGCTCCGGGCAACCCCAGGATAGAGGGGCACGCTTGGGCTGTATGGAAGACCCTGTCTCGACCGGAGAATATTAGGCCAATAATAAGTTAAAAAGAAAAAAAAGTCTTCGCCTTCTTAAAATACAGCATCATTCTGTAGCCAAGGCTGACTACCAACTCTTGGCAGTCTCCTGCCTCAGCCTCCCAAGGGCTGCAAGTGCACCTGCAAATAGCTTGTCTAATGACGGTTTTCTGTAGAGACAAAAATGTTCTAAGAGTAGAATCTAGTGTATGAATGTGGCTCAGAGGTAGAGCCTCTGCCTAAATACCCAGTGAGGGGGCCGGGGGCGTGGTCAGGGTGGAGCCCCGCCTAGAATCTCCCAGGGAGAGGCTGGGGGCGTGGTCAGGGCGGAGCCCCACCTAGAATCCTCCAATGAGGGGCTGGGGGCGTGGTCAGGGTGGGGCTCTGTGAAGAATTTTCTAGTTAGAGTCTAGGGTAGGGCCAGGGTCAGCGTGCTTTTCCAGCCTGTGCAAGGCCCCGGGTTCATCCCCAGTGTTAAAAAGAGAAAAGAACCCAAAATAAACAGCTGCATTCGGTTCAGTGTTCTAGCTTCGGGGGCTGCTCGGCCCCCTGTCCTACCTGATCCTTTCCACCTAGACTTTACCTACCCTGTTTCCGCAGCCTGGGACCCCCTCCCCCGCGGCTGCAGCCCCGGCCTCCCTCTCTGGCTGTGGCTGAGCATCTCCTGTCCCCGGGATCCCCTCCTCCAGCCCCTCACCCCGCATCCTGCTCCAGGCTCTGCACACGCGTTCACGGCGAGTACTCAAGTGCTCATCTCAGATGGGGCTAGAGACATGAAAGTTCGTTCCTCCGTCGCGTGGGCGGGGGGGGCGCAAATGGGCCGCCTGGAAGGTGGTTAGCAGACGTGTGAAGCTCCGCAGAGCGTGGCCGCGGCCCTTTCAAGGGCCCCGCGCCACCTCCTTCTCCGCTGCCCCGGGCGCCCGCCGCCTGCGCCAGCCTCCAGCAGCCCATTAAGAGATTTTTTTTTTTTTTTTTCCTTCCACTTACAGCTCCGCATTGACAAGAAGGTTCAATATCGGCCCTTAGAAGAGACGTGGCAGCCGCCTTGGAAAAAAATCCTCCCTCCTACAGCCACCCCTGCCAGCGCGTCCTCGGGTTCTGCTCCAGGGCGGAGGGTCCAGCACCCCTATCCCGAGGCAGCCCGTCATGGTCAGCAGAGGCGAGAAGACGAGGCTGGGCTGCGGGGCAGGGGTGGGAGGTGGGGGTGGACGGGGTGAAGGTTGGCCACTGCCAGCCTCAGAGGACGTCGCCTCTCCCCACTGCCAGCTAGAAATCTGCCCCCTCAGCCCAGCATGGCGGTGCACACCTGTAATCCCAGCGCCTGAGGGGCTGAGGCAGGAGGATGGCTATGAGTTCAGGCCAGTCTTGGCTATAGAGTGAGACTATCCAAAAAAATTCAAAAATGTACAATGATGGAGGAAGAGGAGGGGGAGGAGGGGTGCCGTTTTCTATGCCTGATGGCCCTGGGTAGGGCCGGCCGGTGGAGACCGCTCTCCACAGCCTCGGGGGGCCACAGGGGCAAGCGAAGGGGCTTGAAGAGCAAGCCTGGGGCTGAGTGGTTCAGCCTGTGTGGAAGGGAGGGATGGGGTGCACAGAGCCCACCTCGCGGCGGGAGGTGAGGTGAACGGGCGAGGCGCAGAGGCCACCCCAGCCCAGCCCACCTGCTCCCACTGCACCCCAGGGGGCCCCATGAGTTGGGGTGCCCAGGGGCCTCCAGGTCCTACTGAGGCCTTAGAGCCCCCCCAATAAGCTGGCCTCACACACAGCCTCCGGCAGGCCAGGAAGAACCGTGCGTTCACGGGGTAGCCTTGAACTCGGGACTCTCCCACCAGGACTAGGACAGAAGAGCGCCAGCACGGCTCGCTGGGATGCCCTGTGTGATTCACTGAGGGATTGTTCTCTCCACAGACGGATCCCCCCCAGGGTCGCTGGGACACACGGCTTAATCAGTGACCACATAGTACAAGCCTCCTGCTTTACAGAGAGAGAAACTGAGGCCAGATGATCCACAGCTCTCATCCCAGGACTCGGGATGCTGAGGCAGGAGGATTGTTGTCAGTTTGAGGCCAAGCTGGGCTACACAGCAAGACCCTGTGACAAAAAAAAAAAAAAAAAAAA